ACTCAGCATAGCGTGGCAATATATTTTGCTTTGGTTAGTTAGTTTTGAAACTGTGCCGTATACAATGTGTATACTGTACATTTTTTCCCCAGCTTCAACAAAGATATAACATTCATAAAAGTGATCTTAAATAAAGAGCTGGGGTCTCCGTTTATTTTTCTTTCAGGCGAGATATCAAACTATTAATTTTGTTGCACTACTCGCTGAGCTGCTAATAGTTTTGAGATATCTATGCACTCATGGTAAACATATCTCAAACTAGGCTGCACTTATCACATATTTTAATTTAAAGAGCCTGTTATTTTTTTCTGGAAAACTTGAACTACATCACCAGATGACACGGACCTGCATAGCAAGGTACGTCGTTGTCAGTGTGCGGAGTAAGCGCCCATCTTTAAACCCACTGTCAAAGGCTCTGGTACATTCTAAAAAGTGCTTTAGGTTCTTTTCTATTCTCTGGTGTTTAGCCCCAGGTAACTGGCAGTGCCTGGAGGGACACCTCCAGCCTGATTTCACTCTTCTTGTAAGCTGCTGTTATTTTCAGAAACCTCCAAAGCTCTTTTCTTCCTCAACCTCTCGCCTCCATCTTTATGGTGTCAGAGGAGCCTTTCTGTGGTAACTAGCTGATTGGTTTTAGCCTCCTAGCTTGCTGGTATGGGAACCTCACATGATATGATTTCAGTTGGTCCAGTTTCAGTTGGACTAATACAATACATTGATTTTCTTTATTTTTATTTAATCCTAAAGCCTGATAGTTGGCACTTATGGAAAGCTCTTCCAATATTCCAGAACTTTTACCACCTTATGATTAAGTAATTACTCATTTTACATCAATACTGTGTCTGCCTGTACCACAACATTTAAATCCCAGTTCTGAATGAAATGACAAGTGATGTGAATGTAACCGCGAGTTATTAGTTGCGCCTAAACTCGGAAAGAAAACATCAACACTGAGTTCTGTAGTATGAACGAGTGTTCTAAACTTTAATTGGGCAGCCATTAACCTGCCAGCGGTTCAAAAGCACTGCACTTCTGTTTACACTCTTCAAAGAAAAGTCTCCTGGATAACAAACTGTTATCTAGAGTTAAACTGAAATACACAGAGCTTTATACGCTTCTCTAAGCATCTGCGAGAGAGTGCCGAAGCGCGCAAGGAACTCATGGGTCCGTGCAATGTCCGAGGGAACAAAACTTCGCTCTCAACTCCTGTGGAGAGATAAGACACAGCAAAACTAAGAGTGCAGAGTCACATCAGCAGAGAGAGAGGGAGCGCTAAGGTCCACAGTCCATAATTCCATAGATTTACAAAAGTAATCTGTAATGAAAAAAGTTATTTTGCTTAAAAGAAAAATAAAAGACTAGTTCCTTTATTTTAATATAATGACTGGTTCTCTGTAACATGGATGACTTTGGGTTGTGGTATCAGCAGGAATGTCACAATACCAGAATTTTAAACTGCAAAATGATACCACTGAAACACACAATGTCGATACCTGTCTCAATAACAACACAATACTTTTCCTAGGCAACCAATATTGGTAAATTTCTTGTCCTTTAATAACCAAAATTTGAATGAAATCTCCTGCACACTGACTAACGCGCACAAAAGCATTGGCCACGTTTCAGTACCCAGTTTTGTGTAATTTAGACACGAGTTCTCATATTTGATGGATTCATTGACTTGTAAAATACATTTTTTAAAGTTTCAGTACCTTTAAATGCAATTGACCTGTAGAATAATTAACATTGTAAACATGTGATTTTCGAAAATGTACCAAAATATTGAACATTTTGACTACCTTAGGTTCCACTGATTTAACCACCAGTGACTGTACAGATCTTAGAAGACCAAAAGATGGACTGACAGATGGAGGCATGAACAACGTCAGCAGGACTGATCGTCCTAAGGCAAACCGTTGAAATGACAAGAGAAGTGGATGTTTTAAGAGAGGAGGCCCTGCAGGTGCCTGACAGCAGTCAAATGAGTCGACAAAACAGAGAAAACTTGTTCTGCAGCTTGGCTTGTTAAGGCTGTGGGATATGTTCCGCTTTAGTGGACATGTAGGAATGAGCGACAGGCGGAAAAAGAGTTGATGCTCAAAGTTCTGCCTGACAAAAGACAAATAGAGATGGATCTATATCAGCCCATTCTATTTTAGTTTTTCCTAAATTCCTTATGTGTTAAAGTGTTGTATTTTTATAAATAGAGAGTAAGTATGTTAATGACACGACTAGGCAGATCATACAACAGTCAAGCAGTCCATTTCTTGCCCTGCCTTTGAACCCCATCCAGACTTCTGTGAGAGCCATATCATCATAACTGCTTGTCACATAGAGCTGCAGGCAGAGAATTGAAAGCATAGCTCCACACGTAGAAACAGTCATAACTGAAACATATGAATAGCGTGCTCATGGAGACGAGACTGCAGAGGTGACCCCCAGTTGCCCCTCATTACTGTATTCAGTTATGCGAGAGAAGAGGCCAGTATGGATCAACATGTACTGTTCTCCTAGAAAACAACCCATTTGGACTCTAATGAAGTCTCCTGACAGCCTCTCACAAGAGTTAGAACGGAGAAAGCATGCTAATACCCTGTGCTGTGGCACAAAGAGGGTCGTTTTGGCATGAGTTGTGAATTACCAGACATACAGTTTTGTTTCCAGTTGAGACCCATTTATGATTGTGCTTTGTTTTAGACGATAACAATGTTTTGTGAGGCTCTTCCCTCGATGTAGTGACCATATCAAGCTCATTAGCCTCTAATCACTACAGACCATTGTGGGTTAAAGGGAGCTAATTGTGACTTCCACAACACTTAATAGTCAAGAGATGTTGTACAAATACTCTCCCTTCCCCATCATGAATGAATAAGTGACGTCTTAAAAGGCCCAGTGGACCACGTTAGTTTGAGTGAGAATGACTGATGGTCATGTAACATTGGTGCAGTTTTTAAGTTTTATTTTAAATCAAGTGCCTAACAATCATTGTGTCTCATCGTCTGTCCAAAAAAAGCGCTGTTCTTCCTTACCATATTTACTCCTTTGTCATGTTTTCTTTTACGTATTCATGTTTATCTACTTCCAGGTCAAAGCCCCGAGCGGGAACTTTGGAGCATGCACAGATCACCTAGGCCAGTTGAGATGTATCACAGGTTGATGATATACATCCTGCCCACGTACGACCATGACGACATCCTGATAGTCACAGTGTGTTTTTTTGTCATGGACTGTTTAAAACATTCAAGTAGTCAAAATCACATCACCTGTTTGTTTCTGAAGAAGCATTTTTTAAGCCTAAACAAGGCTGTGGCCATATTGGAAATGTAATCTCTACCTGACTTTCAAAAATTGTAGAATTAGGCAGACCTTTTAAATTATTATAATAAATGACATCAATACTGAACAGCAAAACTTGCTTGTAGCTTTGTCTTTAAAGCCCTCTGTTTTACAATTATCTATTTAAAGACACTGTGTTTAATGACTTTGGAATTTCTAAGTTAGCGTTCTTCTCTTAAACCTTTGTATTTTATTTTGTTGTTTTCTTTGGTACCGATATTACGTGCACAGTGTCAATATTTTCCTCCTGCAACACTTGGTCTTGTGATAGAGGGACTCTAATTCAATCGAAGTGCAATGCCTTGCTTATTGCTATATTTATAGTTGTATGTTTGTCCCTGCAGTAGATTCCCCCCCCTTTGCTTTGGTCCAGTGGTTATGTAACACTAGGCTGTGTTTAACGTGACAGCCTACAGTAGTGTTGTAGTACTTGAATTCGCTCTTGGTCTTAAAACTGGTCTTGAGACCACTTTCTGAAGGTCTCTTCTTGGAATCGAAAGCATTTTTACTCTGTCTTCTCTCGGTCTCTCGGACTGGGCGGACTCCGGTTTTTAAATCAATTCCACCACTGACATCATAACTGTGATAAGAAGGACAATGCTCCCATCTTAAAAGAACAAATACTTTCAGTTCATATATAATTTGATTTTAATCCCCCGATCACAGCCGCAACCTTCCCGTTGTTACGCTTTGACTGAGTGACACGCCCCCTGCACACAAGATGATGATTTTTCAGTGATATTCATGGTCTCGGTCTTGTGATCTTTGTCTTACCCTGCCTATGTCTTGACTACACTAGCTTACAGACAACTTTTTCTCCATTTTCCTGATCAAATATTGCAAAACTGCACTCCTCCTATGAGCTGCTATCCTTTCACTGTGCTTGTTCTCATCTGTGTAGAAGAGCATGCCGAGTTTCTTCATGAAGCACCTAATTGTGAACATCCCTAGTGAGGAAATACTCCAATGGAAGCATTGTTTACATTCTGAACCATAATTCCCCGTACATTTCTTGTTTTCCCTGTCTTTTAATGACCTTTCTCTCTTAATGACTCCCTGAAAACCTTCCCTGTGAAACGTGCATTCACACATGCCAGTATGCACACAAAACACACACACACACACACACACACACACACACACACACACACACACACACACACACACACACACACACACACGTGCCCAGAAGTGTTTGCTAGTTGAGGAGGTTATTGTGGGGGGATACAGCTTGTGTCTCCCCGTCACATTAAAAAGCCAATTTCCTTTTAATAGAAAGAACAGCTGGACCTGACAGGTTCTGGGTCTGCAGATGGAGCAAACAGCTCCAGACCCTGTCCTGCAGCTTAGGCACAGCTGCCCGTCGTCTTATTACTGCAAGAGGAGACAGAGATGATAGAATGGAGGGAAGAGAGGAAGAAGGAAGAGGAGAAAGGGTGTAGCTTGTGCACTCTTAAGAAGGTGTGTTCGTTTAAGAATGTAAACAACTGCAGCAGAGAGACGCTGAACTCAATACTGTTGTCATTATGAAGATGGAACACAGGAGATTTGTACCTTTTTTTTTTTTCCATAACAGCACTCTGTGATAACTATCTTTCACTTAAAAGTCATGCACTCATTCATTCACTCACCCCCTCTTTCTCTCTCTCTTTCTCCTCGTCCAGTGCACCTGGTTGAGTCCCAGGAGATGGCTGAATCTGCAGGAGTACCAGAGCAAGAAGCTGATGCAAGAGAGTGGGGTGGCTGTCCAGCGCTTCTATGTGGCCGACACAGCTTCTGAGGCACTGCAGGCTGCAAAGAGACTCAGTGAGTAGAGAGCAGTGCAGTTCTACTTCTACTTCTTCTCCATCACATAGAAATAGCAGTCTGCAATAAGTTCAAGTGTTATCATTGTTTTGTATTGTACTAGTCCAGCTGGGTATTTAGATTGTTGAAAAACAGGGAAATCTTCTGTTCAGCTCTCAAGTTTATATGGCAGCTATTTCAATCAATCAATCAATCAATCATTATATATTGTGTAGCACCAATTCACAACAAGTGTTATCTCGAGACATTTTGCAAAAATCAGGTAGAAGACATTACTCTTTGTTCTGTTACATAAGAAAATGGGATAGGGGGAGATGGGATAAGTTGCAGGCACGATTTCATCTTTGAATTCCTGACGTTCCTGTTGTCCACACTTACCTTGCCGCTGAGGTGGAGGTCGGAGCAGGCCGTGCATGAATGATGACGGAGGTAGGTTGTGGGGGACAACACAGTCCAATGGTGGTGGCTGGGCGTCGGGGATGTCGGGTTGTAGTAGTAAGACATGAGAGCTCAGGAAAATATGTGGTTAATAACTAAGATTTACAGAAAGTGACATGCAGTAATATGATGTTAATGCACAGAGAGAGATAGGGCGAGATAGGAGATCAAGGTGCTAGTTCCCCCGGTAGACTAGGTCTATTTCCTTTGTCTAAACATGTATCCCCATGTAGTTTTGCACTTAAGACACATTTTATATTCTTGTTTTTTTTTAACTGTTAGTTGTTTTCGATTTCTGCGTAATTAAATGGCTGTATGGTGTTAAACTTAACAGTATTATCTGTGTTGCATGGCTCTATGGCCCTGCTACAGGATGTGCAAATGGCCGTGTCTAATCAGGGTGGAAGTTGTATCAGGTTTAATTTCATCTTTCTGCTGTTTGCTCCTTTTTTTTTTTTTAGTGTAATGGTTCTCTGTGTTTCTTCATGGTCTCACTGGCTAATGTATTCACGTTTTATATCTTCATTTATTTATATGAAATCCTTGGCTGCATTTTGGATCATTGCCCCCACACACCCACAGAAAGGCAAGGAAGTGACTCAGAGGCCTTATTTTATTCTTTCAACACGGATCTTCACAAATACATTGTCCTCTCATGAACAAAGATGGTTTAACACATATTTGTATGCACCCACACAAAGATTTCTTTCTCATCCCCCTACATTTCCTGTGCTACTGTTTCTCTTTCCTACACACTAAACCACCATACAGTGTGTGTATCCACCACCTCAGCAGCTATATATTTTATTCATTGTCCTCTTCAACTACGGCAGCGACTCCCTGATAACGCACCCAGGTCTGTTGTCAACCAGCAAGGTGCCGCTCTTCTTACCGCTGCCTCTGGGCTCCAGTGCCTGGGGTGCTGCTTTCAGGCACCCTAGTTGCAATGCAGACAAGATAAAATAATAGGTGTAAGATGATATATTTTCTTGACAGTACCTATAGTGCTTGGTACGGAAAGAAATGGAGTGACAGAAAGCTCAGGGCAAAGGAGTTAAAGGGAGCAGACAGCCTTACAAAACCAAGGCTGGGTTCAAGGGTTGGTTTTCTCAACTCAGGATTTGCAGTGCATTTTTTAGACACTAACAAGTCAGATACTGTAGCAGATTGAAAAAGTTAAGATGCTGCATGCATCACATTTTTCTCCTTGCACTCAAAAAGTGGCATGTTCGGGTAATTGTAAATTTATTTCTGGACATTTCCTTGGTAAACTGACGAAAATCATTGTGTGGAGAGAGAGAGAGAGAGAGGAACTTTATAAAGATGGCGCCTGAAAGGAATTTATTGTGGCAGATTCTCCGTTGACGGAGAGGCTATTGCATGACTGCAGTTAAGACATATTTAATGGTGTCCTCAACCAACATTTTAAGTGAAGCTGCAGGGAACTTGCACTTTTTGTTGCGCTCCATTGCTTTCCAGAAATGAATGAGACACGTGCTAAATCAGGTCTTAATTAGCGGCAGTGCGTTCAGATTAACTCGACTGTGGTTATGACCATTTACATCTTGAGCGTTCAACTCCGCAGCTAAATTAGAAACATGCGGCAATGAAATTCTTGCAGCTCTGACAGTTATGTGCGTTTGGCTTAGTAAATCAAGCCCTTCTTCCCAGAGCGTACTTCAGAACTGCTTTATCTTCTCATTTCCATTGAAGGAAAAAAAAAGAAAAAAAAGCTTTGGTCAGTGTTCTAGTGCATGTGCGTGTTTATTTTTTCACACTTTGTACCATAAACCATTGCTGGCAAACTATCAATGCATGCAAGTGAGCATCTAGTGACGCTTCATTTCTTCAGATACGCATAAATGTGTGAGGCTCAGTCTTGGGCTATGTTAGGTCACAGATGATTGTGATGGAAGATGATAGGAAAGGGGGGGATCAGTAACCTCTGTAGTTCAGATCTGCTTGGCTGAAACGCCAAGTGAGACTGTAAAGCTTGGACTCATGGGTGTCTGAGAGTAGGCAGGATGTGAAGCCAGCTCTGGATTGTGCTCTTTTTCATGCCGTTCCAGTGTAGAGGACACAGGGTATGAGTCTGCACAGGGGACCTGAGCTGACCAAGAGTGACTCCAATGTATTTTTGTGTGGTGCTGATACCCTGCTGTGAGCTCCTGGCCCCCCTGCATACACAATACAATAAACCAGTCAAGCATGGAAGCACAGGCAGACACAGATGAATGGCATGCGTTAGGTAAGCTTGCCCATATAAGCACACAATCACAAAGACACACTTAGACACATGCACTCCAACCAGCATTCTCCTCTCTGCTGCACTCACTTAACCATGAAGTGGTTAAGTTGACAGTTCAATTGCAGCTATGCTATATAGAAACTCCTCTCACTCCTCTCATGTACTGTAGTGTCTAACTCTCCTAAAGTGGACACAGATTGATTTGTTCATTTACCGCTGAGGGCAAAGCGCTTAAAATCTTTCTCCTTTTCTATCAAAATCTAAAAAAAGTATCCGACATGGACCATTGATTCCATTTAACTTGAATGACAACTCTTAGGGGAGAGTTTACATCTTGGCAGATGGGTGACTCACAACCAGTTAATGGCTCATGGAAAGTAGGGTTTGATTTCTGAGGCCCCATACTGTGTAAGCATTGCAGGGAGTTATCAAAAAGTCACAAGTTTTTGTCACATGTGCTCCAGCGGGACACTCAGAGAATGGCCCACTTAACTGCTGCTGTCTGTCCAGAATCAATGACCCTGACCCACTCTGATAGCAGAGCTTTTAATTATTATGATGGGAGTGTGACAGCACAACCACCTAGCTGTAGTTTGAACAATAACTTTTGGACCTTGGAGTTACATAACACAACTTTGAAATGAAAAATGAAAGAAGCTTGTACTTTGTGAACTTGTCACAGTTTTGGATATTGTATTGTGGCTGTCTCTGCCCGACATTCAGGGATTCACTCCTTTGCTGGTTTTGCTGCTAAGACGCCACTCTCTTATGCTTCCAAGAAGGTGCTATGCTCTGAAGCAGTAAATGGGGAAAGCACAAGCGAGTGTCTCTCTGGAAGAGTCAATAACTGATGTGTGTTATATGATGCTGCTATAGACCTGCTAACGTTTCAGCAGCACTTTTATTTCTTAGCTTCTGAAAAATATTTACCTTCAAAGGTAATAACAATTAAGGTAGAAGGTTTAGAGGTAACCCAACACTCAACCCATTACAAATATATCCAGTAACAAGTATCTCGTCTCAGTGCACTAAAGGCTTAGTGCTTCAGGCTGATAAAACAATCGAGGAAGTAGTAACCAGTAGTGTAAAAAAATATATAATGTTGTCAGATGTACAGAAAAATATAGCTAACGTTACAGAAAAATAAAGTTCAAGTTATTTAAAAAAAACTTCAAAATTATAAAATAAACAAAAAAACATATACATATTGTTACATGTCTGGACATGTGTAAAGGGGTGAATAACTTTACCTATAGCTAACGGAAGCTCACCACCCATTAGTTAACTAGTCTACTCTTTCCTAGAACTATGTGAGGGCTCGCTCCCTACCAGCTGCTAGTCTACTCTTTCCTAGTACTGGAGCTATGTCAAATTACTTCGCTAACACCCTGTCGAGAAGGGAAGACTTATATAACCGCCTAGCCCTAGGATTATCTGCCTAACATTCATTTCTAGAATAATTAGATTCAAGTATAATCCTGGATTCAGGACCCTAAATTAGCCCCCGGAGAGGGATTAACTGCAACTGTCCTCACTCGGATGCTAGGTGTGTTTGAGGTGTGAAGTAAAAGTCAGTAGAAGTGTGCCGTGGTGTGTCTGCTCATGCTTACCTCCAGAGGTTCACGCGGCGTCCTTAAGAGGCTCAGGTCTTTGTGGTGTGAGTGACTTCAGTCAGAAAAATGGTTTCAAAAAGTTTCAGAAAATTTACTGAAAAAACTTCAAAAGATATTCAAAATTCCAATACAAATCAGTAAAAGTAAAAATATAAAAACGTAAATAGTAAAATACAAATTCAAATGTTTAAACCCGAGCTTGTAGACACTTGAGGTTTTAAAAGATCTCGGTCTCAGAGACTAAGTCCCAAAACAGGGATTTAAAAGTCAGAGTGACGTGGATCCTTTAGTAAAAGTAAAAAAAGAGCCCCGATCAGTTTCTCCGCAGCATTTTTAGAGCCAAACTGTCTCTTTTTTCCAAGATTCTGTAAAACCTCAACAATGCAGATTTGCAGAAGCGTTATACACCCATAAGTTTGTTTGTGGTTTTGCTCAAAGTATGGCACACTTATCCTGACCTCACAGGTGCATAGGTGCCACGGATGTGTGCATGATTGACAGGATATGTAAAAGCCAAGAAAGTAGTTATGACTATATGACATATGAGTTAAATGATAATAAAAAAAAGAACACATATGGTAAAAACAAATTCAACAATTGCATAACAATTTCTGATCTTTCAGCAATATTGAAATCTGTAAAATAGTCTCACTAAATGTGATACCAATTTTAATACACTGAAGAATATGCTAATACTGATT